GGCTTTCAGAGGGGTGCAAAGAGCAAACTCTCTCCCTCCCCAGCCTGGCACTGGGCAGCTCTGGCTCTGCACGGCCCTGGGCACGGCTCCCAGGCTGCGGGAGCTGGTGCCAACGCTGGCAGCAGCCACAGGTCTTTGCACCCTTGTCTGGGCTCCCTTTGGAGCCTGTTGGACGCCCTGCCAGGGGATGGAGTGGCAGCACCTTCCCTTCTCCTCAGGGAGGTGCCAGCTTCCCTGTCTCTGGAGCAGTTCTGGAGCAGTTCTGGCTGGCACCGCTGCTGGGAGCGCCTCGGTTCTTCTTCCTGCTTTTGTCACGCCCTGGGGCTGCTTGTCTTCCTCAGACCTTACCTGGTGCACCTTCCTAGGTCCCACCACTGCACATTTCCCAGGATTCTCCCAGTTGGATGCCAGCTTCCCTCCAGAGGGAGAATAATTCCATGACAGACTGAGGGATGGTCGTGGTTCTGAGGTGCCTCTGATTCAGGGGGACCTGGAGCCCCGAGGGAGAGCCCTGGGGGTGCCAGAGTTCAGCAGCACAGCGTGGGATGATCCCAGTGGGATGGCTGCTCCTGGCAGGGGGATCTGTGAGAGACAGGAGGGTGGCTTAGGCTCTGTAACACCGGGGGGATGGAGAGGCCATCAGGGAATGCTGTTTCTCACAGCATAAGAGGTGAAGTTGGCTCAACTACGAACCTCTTGGGGGTGCTCAGAAATCCAAAGAACACTCAGGAATGGGTTTCACTCGCTGCTGCTCCTGGTGGCACGTGCAGGGAGCTCTGCTAGACTGGCAAGGCGTGACTTGCTTTGATGGAAGCGTTACTGGTTTGTTCCTGTCACCACAAAACCTTCTTGAAAGATTTCGTAACTCCCTTTGATGATTTTTCACCCGTTTTTCCCTGGTGTTAGAATAAGACTCGTTGGATTATGATTTCTGAGATACTCGACTTGAAAAAAAAAGATAAGTGATTTTTTTTTTTTCTTCCTCAGCAGAGAAGTTGATTTAATGAGAGAAAATGAACGTGAATGACTCTGCAAGTCTGTAATGGAGTTTGGGGGTGGCCAGTGCGTTTTTTCCAACCATTCACAGTTGTGTCTTAAATATTATTGGGAACTAATGAGGTACCAGATGATTGGGGGGAAAAAAAAAAAAGCAAGAATAATCCTGGTGATTACCATCTGGAGCGTTTAATTTCTCCCCCTAGTGAAATAACAGGACAGAAAAAAAAGGAAATAAATAAAATCAGTGATGGGGAATAGTTGAATAGAACTCAGGTGGGCACCACTGCCAGCCTGGGCAGAGGGGGATTTGCTTGGAAGGGCCATGGGTCAGATCCCGTGGGACACCGTGGCTGCAGGATGGATCCAAAGTGCTCCTCTCTGCTGACTTTGTGTTCCTCCTGCTCTTGTTTCTGACCTCTTTGAGGCCTTTTCACTCTCCTGCTCCCAGTTTCATGCCCCATTTCATGAAGGTGCTGTTAGATCCCTTCTTCCAGGTCACTAATGAGAGTCCCAGTCCTCATCCCGGGCCTGTGGCAGGAGCTGGATGGTGGTGGCAGCACATTTGGTGTCCAGCCTTTGGCTGCTTTCAGGCCCAGCTGAGAGGCTGGCAGAGCCATTCTCCCTCACTGCCACATCTGGAAAGGCTCTGCCCTTCCCATGGCCACTGCCATCCTCAGGGAGCAATCCCAGCCAGGGACTTCTCTGGCTTCCCAGTTAGAGTCACAGACTGGTTTGGGTGGGAAGGGACTTTAAAGCCCATCCAGTGCCACCCCTGCCATGGGCAGGGACACATCCCACCAGCCCAGGTTGCTCCAACCTGCCCTTGGACACTTCCAGGGATCCAGGGGCAGCCACAGCTTCTCTGGGCAACCTGGGCCAGAACCTCCCCACCCTCCCAGCCAGCAATTCCTTCCCAATATCCCATCCAACCCTGCCCTCTGGCACTGGGAAGCCAGTTCAGACTTCCCGTGCTCCCTTCTCTGTCCCTTTGTCCCACAGACTTTTTTGCCATCTCCCTTCCTGGCCACTCTCCTCCTTTGTTGTGCTGGGAGAGGCCACAGCCGGCGGCTCCTTCTCGGAGCTGTTTGTGACTCATGGTCATCTCAGCCCTCACCAGCCCCACCTTGTCCCTGGTGTCCCCAGCCCAAAACCCCAGATCCAGCCTGTCTCCTGCAGCCCTTGCTTTTGCCAGGTGGCCTTGTCTGCTCCAAAGCTGCCTTTGCAGTGTCACCAACCTTGGGCCCTGCTCAGGAGCTGTGTCCAGACTCCCTGGAGACACAGCGGGAGCGATGCTGTGGCACAGGCACCCTGGAAAGCCATGGATTTGGCTGGATTTGCTGCTGGGCAGGGATGTTTTCTCACACCTTACAAAAGGACTGGATGGGGATGGCTCAAACTGTCATGGCACCAAGTCCTCCCACGCTGAGAGTGTGGGCAATGGGAATGCAGGGTGCAGGAGACTCCCAGGCTCCCTAATCCTGGCAGCTGTGCAGCAGCAGCACAGAAGGGACCTGTGGCTCACCAGCAGATGTGGATTGAAGGAAAGGAGGAGCCCAGAGACCGGCCAGTTGCTCCTGGGCTGATCTCATTGTCCGGATCCAGCCACGGTTTCCGTTCTCGTGCCGCGGAGTCGCAGAGCTCGTGCTCAGGACCCGTTAAACTCACCCCGTGACCCCAAACTTCCAGGTCTGTGGATGCAGCCATCCCTCCCCGCCTCACCTGTTCTGCCAGTGCAGGGTGTTTGCAGCAGATGCTGCTCCAGCTGGGAGAGTTTTTGGGGCTGGGTGCCCCGGCAGAGTCCGGCAGAGTCCGGCTCCCAGTGATTCCTGCCCTGTGCAGTCCCCGGGCCTCGGGGCGGGAGGGCCGAAGGAAGGGCCATTACTCATTTCCTGGACAGATCCAGGCCATGCCGTAAATCTCTCCAGCTCTCAGTGGTTTGGGGGCTATTTCTGTTGAAGGATCGTCACGTAGATTAAAGCCTTGAATCCCAGCCAGCCGTGGACCGGACACGGTCCCATGCACAGTCCTGCAGGGCTCAGCCCGGCATTCCATCTGCTCCTGGCAGGGCAGTCCCTGCCTGGGAGCGAGGGCTTGACCCTGGGCATGCAGAGTGTTCCTGCCCTTCCTTAGCCCTCGCAGGCAGAGGTAACAGCCCGGGGATGTGGTTGCTCCACGCTGGAGCTCCATGCTGGAGCTGCACCGGCCCCCACGCCGGGGTGTGTGACCCCAGGCAGGTCTCTGGGGTGGGAACATTTGCTTCCCCCCCCCCCCCATCATCTGGTACCTCATTAGTTCCCAATAATATTTAAGACACAACTGTGTCCTCCCATTCCCAAAACTTTGGCACAAGGCCACAACTGCATCCTGTTGTCCACGTACAAAGCGCTTTGGGAAGCCCCTGGCAGCCAGTCCCCGGCCTGAGGGGTGGTGGAGGAGCTGCTGGAGCTGCAGCCCAGGGGCCAGTCCGGCTGTTTGGGCCTCCAGGCTGGGATGTTGGGAACCCCACGGTGGGCAGAGCTCCAGCAACTGCACCATCAACAGCTTTATAGAGCCAGAATGAGGGCTGTTCCCTGTAAAATCCCAAGACGGGCAGCTGAGCCCCACGAGTCACATCCTGCTGGTGTCCAGCCTCCCTTGTGAGTCCCTCTGGCAGCTGGGGAAGGAACCAGGCAGGGATTCCAGAGGCACTGGTGCAGGTGTGGAGATGGGGGATCGTGGTTGCAAAGGGGGGGACAGGGCTACTGGGACAGACTGGGGGCACTGGTGGTGGTGTGGAGGGAAGATCCAAGGAGCAGGGCAGGCTGCAGGAGCTGGGACAACCCATCCTGGGTGCTGTGTCCAGACCCTGTGCCCTGCACCCCGAGCCCTCCCTGGGTGAGCAGAGGGTCTGGGTGTCTGCACTCCTGGGACTCCATGCTCTGCTGACAGGGTGAGGAAGGGTCCCTCCTGGATGGCTGGGGGACACTGCAGTGGGGACTGGGGAGGGCATGCAGTGACAACTGGCCCTTGGGGATCCCTGCATGGTGTGGAGATTCTTGGAGAGGTCCCCGACGTGGGGATTCCCATGTAGGGTGTGGGTGGTCCTCTGCAAGACCCTCAACACAAGGATCCCGGTTGGGGGTCTGTCCCACAGTGCCCCTGCCATGAGGAACCCTGTGGGGTGGCTTTGGGACATTCCTGTGTGGTTGGTTGGGGGTTCCCGGGTGAGGGCCCCCAGATGGGAATCTCTGTGTGTGGGGAGTTAAGGGTCCTGCAGGAGGTCACTGTGGGCCAGGGTGGAGTGTGGGGGTCCCACCAGGTCCCCAAGTGGTGGTTGGGCATCCCCTGCTGGGGAATGGTCACTCCTGGGGGATGATCCCTTCTGAGTGGGTTCTGCGGGGTCCCTGTGGGGTTGCCCGTGTGCAGAGTGGGGGTCTGCTTTCGGGCTCCTCCTGGGGAATGGTCACTCCTGGGGGATGATCCCTGCTGGGCAGGGGGTGTGGGGTCCCTGTGGGGTTGCCCATGTGCACCACGGGGGTCTCCAGCCAGGGGTCCCCTCCCGGGGTGCCACTCCAGGGATACCTGCGTGGGGGTCCCCTCCTGAGGGATGGTTCCTGCCGGGGGTGTTTGTGGGGTCCCTGCGGGGATGCCCATGTGCAGAGTGGGGGTTTGCTCCCAGTTTCTCCCGGGGAATGGTCCCTGCCGGGGGTTTCCGTGGGGTCCCTCTGGGGCTCTGCTTTCGGGCTCCTCCCGGGGAACGATCACTCCTGGGGTTTAATCCCTGCTGGGGGAGGGTTGTGGGGTCCCTGTGGGGATGCCCACGTGCACCACGGGGGTCTCCAGCCGGGGGTCCCTTCCCGGGATGCCCCTGCCGGGGTACCCCGGGGGTGGGTGTCCCAGCCGGGGATGCCCCGGGGTGACGGCGTGTCCTTGCCCCCGCAGGGCCCCCGGGCGGGCTGTGAGCGCGGCCGGCGGTGGCGGTGGCGGTGCGGGTGCCGGCCGCCCGCCGCGCCGCACGGAGCATGCCTCTGAGCCCCGCCGGCAGCCAGCATGAGAGCCCCGACTCGCCGCCGCCGGAGCCGCTGCCGGAGCGCCAGCCCCGCGCCGCCGCCGCCGGGGAGCCGAGCGCCGGCCTGCGGGAGGAGACGCGGCTCGACCCGGCCCGGGGCCCCGCCGGGCCCCGCTCCCCCAAGCTGGCGGCCCCGGCGCGCATGGAGGAGCCCGCGCCCGGCGCCATCGTCGTCCGCATCGGCATCCCCGACCTGCAGCAGACGGTGAGTGCCCGACCGGCCGCGACCCGCACCTTGATGCGCATCCCCGGCGCTCCCGAGCCGCTCCCCCGACCCGCATCCCCGGCGCTCCCGAGCCGCTCCCCCGACCCGCATCCCCGGCGCTCCCGAGCCGCTCCCCGACCCGCACCCCGAGCGGTGCCGGCCCCGCTCCGCCACAGCTCCCGCCCCGGCACCACCCGGCAAACTTCGCACCGCCGCGGGCGAGGGGCGACCGGCCACGGGCCCGGCGGGACGGGTCCCCAATGCCCCGCTCCCCCGTGTCCCTCCCCCGCTGTCCCGCTCTACGCTGCCCCCGTACCCGGTGCCCCCTTTCCGCTGCCCCAGCTCCCCATTGCCCCACTCCCCATTGCCCCTTCCCCATTGCCCTGCTCCCCGGTGTCGCCATCCCCGCTCCCCCCTTCGCCGGTGTCCCCATCCCCGCTGTCCCCATCCCCGGTGCCCCCGGTGTCCCCCTCCCGTTCCCCGCAGAGCCCGGCGCGGGCAGCCCCGGCGGCAGCGCTGCCTCCCCGGGGGGCTCCGGGGCCCCGGTGCGGCCGCAGCGCGGGGCCGTTCCCGCCGCCGGTCCCCGCACCGGCCGGGACCGGGCTGTGTCCCGCGTCCAGGGGGACGGCGGGGCTGGGAACGGGGAGCGGGTGCGGCGCAGGAGGCTCCAGCACCAGCCTGGTGCCGGTACCAGAACTGCACCGGGATCGGCTCCAGCAGCAGCTGGGCCGGGCTGCGGGAGCTCGGGAGCCACAGCGCCGGGGTCTGACGGTGGCCCGTGTGCGCGGGCTGTGCCCGATGCCGTGGCCGTGGTGGTTCGTGGTTCGCGTGGTGGGTGCTGGGTGCTCTGCTGTGCCGGACGGTGGCACAGCGAGGTGCGATGTGCCGCGTCGTGGTGCCCGTGACACAGGTGGGACACGCTGGTGTGACCTCCCAGGAGCACGGGTGTGACCCAGGGGGGCACAGGCTTTGTGAGGCGTTAGCCAGGGTGGCACATGTGCCACAGGGCGGGCAGAGTGCGGCAGGATGGGGGTCTGGCAGAGCGCAGTGATCCCCCCGGAGACGGGGGGGGGTCACCTGGCATTGGGTGTTTTGTGGGGTGTAAGAGCTTGGAAACAGCCTGGTCAGTGCAGGGGAGGGTTTGGCTGAAGGGCTGCGGTGACGGTGGCCCTAATGAAGAGCCCTCATTAGAGGAGTACTGGGGCAGTGGTTTGGGACTGGGTGGGCTGTGGGGCACAGGGAGCCTGTGCTCCAGGATGAGGCATTGCAGGAGGGGGGGAACCCCTTTGGGATGAGGGGAGGAAGGTGAGGCGACAGACTCGGGGCGAGCAGAGCGTTGCTGGGGGTGGAGGGGACTAAGGGGAGGTGGAAGCTCCTTTTTGTGGGAAAGAGCTCTCTTTTGGGGCCAGGCATGGGGGTCCTGAGGAAGGGGTCGCGGCGGGGGACAGAGGGCTTGCTGGAGGACAGCGATGCTGGGGCTGAGGGCCAAGCCCTGGGGCCGAGGCGCTGCTCGCAGGCACAGCTCTGCAGGCTGAGCTGCCGGCGCCGGGGAGCGGCAGAGACAGGAGAGGCAGCGCTGCCGCTGCTGTCGAAGAATCGGACAGACGCGCTGCTCTAGCGGGGACTGACCTTGTGCTGCAGGAAGGGCTTTACCTCCGCTCGCTCCCCCCCAGTCCCTGCTGGGGTTGTGAACGGGGGGCACGGGGGCTGCCCTGTGCCCTGAGCGCTGGGTTAGCCCAGCACATCAGCTCCTCCTCTGACCCCCTGCGCACACCCCTCCCTGAGCCGGTGCTCCGGGGGGTCTCATCCTGCTCCAGTCCTCACCCCCGATCCCGCAGCACGGGGGTCCGAGGGCTGTCGGGGAGGGCTCTGCCCGTGGCCCTGGTGCCCAGCTCTCTGCTTTGCTGTTCCCTGGGCACTGCCCCGCGCCTCCCGTCCCTGCCTTGCTTTGTTTTGGGAGCGTGCGTGGGCAGTGGAGGAAGCAGCGGTGACTCCTTTTCCCCTGGAGAGCAGCAGTCGGGCTGAGGGCACGTCGTGACCTCCCCCCCTCCCAACGACTCCTCTCTCAAGGGTCTTTTCCAACCTAAGGACCATTCCCAGAGTGAGTCAGAGCGAAGCCACTCAGCTTTGCCAGACCGAAGCTCCCCCGAGGCAGCGGAGGGAATGGGGCACTTGAGGCAAAGCTGAGCACCTTTGCGTGTGAACAGCAGGAATTTCCCTCCCACACCTCCCTTCCCCAGCGGTGCAACCTCCGTGGGCTGGGGGTGGGAGCTGCTGGGAAGACTGGGGGTCTCAGCGGGCTGTGTGGGCTGGGGGGGGTCCTTCCTCTCCCCCCAGCTGGTGGAGTTGGGGGCAGGAAGCCCTGTGGGTGCTGTGGGGAGCTCTGGGGCCAGGGAAGCGCTGTGGATGCTGGCAGGGGTCCCACTTAAATACAGGGAGGTTGGAGAAAACCCAGCTGGCTTAACAGCCTGCAGCCCTGAGAGCTGTGGTGCCCTGTGACCGGCCCCCAACTCCCCTCAGCTCCCCTGCATCATCCCTGTGCACCATTCCCTGCTCCAGGCACTCCCAGTGCTCATTCCTTGTGCCATGAGCAGCCAGGCTTGGTCCCTGTCTGCAGGGTGACACCCAGGCAGGTGGGGCCTGACCAGTGTGAAGAGGGACAAGGGGAAAAGGAGCCACTGAGCCCATCCTGGCTCCTCCATCAGGAGCTCTGGGATGTGTTGGAGGATGTTTGCTGTGTTTTGGAGCAGCTCACAGGACAGATGCTCTGGAGCTGTGTGTGTTCCCTGCCTCTTCTTCCCCTCTTACAAGACACAGGGCCCTTGATCTTGTCCACCTGGAGAGCAGGGAGGATCCTAAACCTCTTCCCTGCTCCAGCAGGACTGTGTGGTTCCAGTGAGGGGTTGGTGTGCTGAGCTCCAGCACTTGCCTGTACCTGCCTTCCACAGGTGCCTGTGGAGCTCTGGATCTGGCCCTGTATCCCCCTCCCTCAGGTGCCTCTGGAGCTCTGGATCTGGCCCTGTATCCCCCTCCCTCAGGTGCCTCTGGATCTGTGGCTGATGTGCCACGGACTTTGCTATAACAAACTCTTCTTGAAGGTGGGAATTCCCTTTTGGGTTTTCAGGAACAGGGTGGACAGGCAGCTTTTCAGTACAAGTCAGACTCGGTTTGATGCCAGAGGTCAGGACTTCAGCTGGGCAAAGTTCAGTTATTAAGTTCACATCTTCTGTCAGGAGCCTCCAGGTGGGATTTTAGACTGTGAAGCAGCTGACTGACTTTTCAAGTGAAGTTTCCCAGCTCTCTTGGAGTCGTCTCCAAGCCTCTTTTAGGTTCCTTTACAACTCTCTACCACTGTGTTTATTCATCCCAAGGCCTTTGAATTCACTGGTAATGGTTTCCTTTGTTAGGAGCAAATCTCCACCCAGGCTACGAGCTTGTCTCTAGGGGGGAAAAAAGAAGACTGTCTCCTCCAGCACAGCCCTGTTTGTATTTGCACTTTTAGATTAAATGATCTGAGCCACCTGCACCTAATCCAAGCTCAGGGGAGAGGCTAAACTGCCCACACCTGTGCCAGCATCCTGATCAAATGCCACCTGGGGTATTTATGCCCCAGAGTGCTGAGTGCCAGAGCTCTTTGCTGCTGGTCAGAGCTGCCTCAGGGAGCTGCAGTTTCCAAAACCTATGGAAGTGGTCACAGCCCCAAGCCTGCCAGAGTTCCAGGAGTGTTTGGACAATGCTCTCAGGTACATGGGGGGATTTTTGGGGTTGTTCTGTGTGGAGCCAGGAGTTGGACCCTGTGAACCCTTCCAGCTCGGGATATTCTGTGATTCCATGGGCATGGGGCAGCTCTGCAGGTGATGGTGGCCATGGAATGTCCTGGTGCTGTGGGAGATGGGCAGTGCTTGGCACAGTGCTGGCACACACTGCTTTGGTGCTGGTCACTAGGAGAGTCCTCTGCCCTGCATTGCTCCTGGAGGGTGACTCCACTGCTTAGATGGATATTTTTCATGGAGCCCAAAATTTTCTGTCCCCTGTTCCCTCTCCGTGTGGCAGCTGAGGCAGCCAAGGCAAATATTTAGGGAAAGGAAGGTACCACGAGACAGGTACATCTTGTTGCTTCAGTTTTGGGCCCCTTCCTACTCCCTTCCCCTTCCTTTGGGTCTGCCCAGCCTGCTGGGGGGTCCCCAGTGGTGGGACCCCCTCGGCTCCTGCTCTTCCCACCTGGACTGTGGGTGCTGTGCTCCTGCAAGTGGGTTTTGGGGGGGTGGTGCATGCAGGGAGGAGGGTGGCTGCTCTGCTGGGAGCCTTGAGGTGGAGTGGAGTTGGGACAGGTCAGGTGGAAAAGCCAGAGGAGGAAGGACAACGCGTGGGGATGCCGGGAATGTGGGCTCTGCTCCTCTCCAGTGCCCAGAGGGAGCTGCTGCCTCTCCTGCATCCCTTTGGGTGCAGCTGTGGTGGTTTCAGGGCACATCATCAGTCCCTGAACCAGCAGGATCAGAGTCACAGGGGGTTTTGTCTCCTCTGTGAAGGGGATGATGTCGAGGTGTGGCCTGTGGGATGTGTTGCAGCCGGGAATGCCCGGGCGATGCGAAGGATCCTCATCCTCTGGAAGGATGTCCTGTGGTGCCCAGGCAGGGGGGCTGGCACGTCTTTCCTGTGCTGGCATCTGTCCCACGGGAGGGCTCCTCCTCAGCACATGGATTTGGGGATGTGTTTGGACCAGTGAGGGGTCGAAGGACTTGGAGATGTGGGACCACCCCGCTCTGTGAGAGGCTGTTTGAGGTCTCTGCTGAGCCCAGAGCCTCCTTTCCTGTGGGTGGAATTTTCCTTTCCCTCTGTGGCTGCAGAAAAGGCTCAGGTTAATATTCTAGCTTGTTATCTCCTTAATGCAAATGAAACAAGGGCCCAGAACCAGCACACAAAGCGTTGATTCTTCTGTTCAGCCGAGGGGAAGCGAAGAAATAAATTTTCCTATTGTGAAAGAAATAGGCAGAGTTTTC